GTTCTCAATAGCTTGTGCACATCTGTCCAATTCTTGCAAACATGGGAGCGGAATATTAAGACACAAATCGAAGAAAATAGGGACTTGGTTTTGCATGTTTGAAATGATCTGATTGGTCAGAAGACCATTCCTACAAACTCCGACCTGTCCTGCGGCACTCAACGCACCTTCTGAATGAGTTTCCGTATCTGAAGGCCTGGAGTGACCTCAGGTGTCATGAGTCTGATGAGAATTAAGAAATGCTGAACACTCTAATGTTGCTTCCGATGAGTATTTCCCATAGGTTGGTAGAAGGCATAATGACGATCAATTTGTGGAATAGCTGTGCCTAAATCTGATTTGCTATACATATGAATATTGGCCCAACAAACTCAAGTTTTTTTATTTATTTATTTAGGAATAATTTTATTGAATATGTGAAAACTGACTAATGAATGTCTGATCATTTGAAAGTTCTGTGGAAAACCTCTATTTTGTTTATATTTGTTTTAAAAACATACTAATCCAATATATTATATTAGTGCAAACAGTATAAAAAAGGAAATTGAATCTTTGGTCATTGGGGATTTCTGATGATCTCAGAGCATTCATTCTGGGCAAGATTTCTCACATAAAAAAATTAAAAATATTGACCAGTAGGTATAGGAGATGAGATTGTGTTTATGTTACAATAAGACTGAGGATGCCCAGTAGGTGTGGCTCAGTGGTTGAGCTTCTACCTATGAGCCAGGAGGTCATGGTACGATTCCCCAGTCAGGACACATGCCTAGGTTACAGGTTTGATCCCTGGGGGTGCGGGGAGGAGGTGTGCGCAAAAGGCAGCCAGTCAATGATTCCCTCTCACCATTGATGTTTTGATCTCTCTTTCCCCCTCCCTTCCTCTCTGAAATCAAAATTAATAAAAATATATTAAAGACCAAGGATGTATAAAGTAAAATGTAATTAATTATTTAAAACTTTTTGAGACATCCCTTAAAGGTACGTAGAACTCTTGCATTTTATAGAACAGCCTTAAGTTAACACAGGCCCTCTTTTTAAGTTCGGGAATTATCAAAGAGAAATGAGAGGAGGGCAGTGCAAAAAGCTGGAATGGTATTAGCTCAAGGGTTTGAGTCAGTAGATTGAGCTTTTAAGCATCAAGGTTTATTTAAAGTAAGCCTGTAATTGGAAGTTTTGTGTCTGGCCTATTTATAGTGTTTAAAATGTATGTGTACGTTCTATGAATATATGGATATCTGCCTAAGGCTCTGGTAATGGGTGCAGTCAAATATATTTATATACAAATGCTAAATTTCTATTCTAAACCTCCTTGTTTTTTTAAAAAATCTATCCTCTTCCATTCTATTTAGGAAATGATAAATACATTGGTGATATTTTTTTCATGCTTTTATAATGAATTCCTTGTTTTTCTGGTAATGGGGAACTGAGATGGTATAGGTAAATGAAATCTATCGACCCTGAATCTATTTTAGTTATGAATATCAATATCTTTCCTTCCTAAATATTTATGAGGTCTCATAACATACAGGAAATTTAAGAAATAATTTGAGTTAATACACAGTATTTTCTCTCTTTTTTTTTTTTCTATCCTGTGCCAGAGGTATTCCTGAGCAACCTAGCGTTCAAGTCCGTTTTAAAGGAAACCTGCCTTTTCCCACAAGACCTCGCTGCTCTCACGGAGATATCTCATCATCCATGCATTTCACTTATGGTGGAAGCCTTTGACTCTTAGCCTATCATGTGGATGCCATTCCCCATAGGTTTTATTTTAGACACACCTATTTGAATTTCCCTCTTCTTTATCCACTACTGTATCTCCATTTGTCCAAATTTCTTTGTTTCTTCCTGAGACTGTAAAAACAGACAATGAACCTGACTCCCTGCCACCAGTTTGTTCAGTTTCCCTTCCAGGTGTCACTAGAGCCCTCATGACCTGGTCATGGCAGAAACATGCTTCCTATCTCTCTGATAATCCTCTAGCTCCAAGTTGCCTATAAAATCAAGACTAAGCTTCTTGACATGTTATAAGGCTCTTCGCAACCTAGAGCAAACCTATGCTTTTCTCCCCTTCTATTTTATTGTCTTTTTTTGTTTTTCCTTGAGGAGTTACGTGATATTGTGACTGTTCAAACAATTTAGAGGTGAATAATATATTTTTGTATGCATTTTTCTATGTTAATGCAAATCTTTCTCATCTGTACATTGAGAATAAGAATAGTATCTGTTAAACCTGCAAGTTCACCCCAATCAATTTAATTAAAAATAAAGATTAGCGTCTGTTTTATAGTTGTACTAGAGGCCTGGTGCACAAAATTGGTGCATGGAGGAGGGGTGTCCCTCAGCCCAGCCTGCACCCTATCCAATTTGGGACCTTTTGACAGATGTTCAACTGCCCGTTTAGGCCTGACTGGGATCGGGCCTAAATGGGCAGTTGAACATCCCTCTCACAATCTAGGACTGCTGGCACCCAACCACTTGCTTGCCTCTGCCTGTTTGCCCCCAACTTCCCTCCCCTGAAGGCGTGGGTCCCTCCAAATGCTCTCCCTTGCTGGCCTGGTTCCCCCTGAACTGTCCTCCCCTGTAGGCTTAGTCCGCGCCCCCCCCCCCCAACTGCCCTCTCCTGCAGGCTTGGACCCGCTAACTGCCCTCCTCTGCAGGCCTGGTTCCTCCCCAACTGCCCTCCCCTGCAGGCCTGGTTCCTCCCAACTGTTCTCTTCTGCTGGACTGGTCACCCACCCCCAACTGCCCTCCTCTGCTGGCCTGGTCACCCCTAACTGTCTACAACTGCCCTCTCCTGTTGGCATTCTTGTGGCAGCCATTTTATGTCCACATGGGGGTAACCATCTTTGACCACATGGGGGTGGCCATCCTGTGTCTTAGAGTGATGGTCAATTTGCATATTACTCTTTTATTAGATCAGATGGATATAAATGACTTAATACATGTATGTAAAACATTTAGGATATTAACATACACAATATTCTGCAATTTGCTTTTTTTGTTTGTTGTTTTAATCCTTAACTTAGAATATGTTTTAGAGAGAGAGAGAAGAGAGAAAAACATCAATTGGTTGTCTCCTGTATACACGCTGATTAGGGATCAAAACTTCAATCTACATATGTACTCAGTGTACCCAGCTACCTGGCCAGGGCTCCGATTCATTTTAAAGTTAATTTTTGTATGTGGCAAGGTATGGATCAAAACTCTTTTTATTTATTTTGGCTTAAGGATATTCATTTGTTCTAGAACAGTTTTTTTGCTAATTCATTTCTTTAATGAATTGCCTTTGTACCTTTGTAAAAAATCAATTGCATATGTGTGAGAAAGTCTGAATTGACTTTCTGTTCCTTCATTCTGTCTTGTTGATATGTCTTTACTCCAATACCAAGCTATCTGTCTTGTTTACTAGAGCTTTATTATAGTCTTAAAATCAGGTAGTGTTCATTTGCGACACTGTGGATGGATCTAGGGGGAGTTTATGCTAAGAAAATAAGTCAGACAGAGAAAGGAAAATACCATATCTTTTCACTTGCATGTGGAATGTAAAGAACAAAATATATGAACAAAAAATACAGAAAAAGACTCATAGATACAGAGAACAAACAGAGTTGCTGGATGGGAAAGGGGCTTGAAGTGCTGTGCCACATGAGAAAGGTGGAGGGATTACGAAGCTGTGAAACAGTCGTGGAGCTGTAAAGTACCGCATAGGGAATATACTCAATAATATTGTAATAACCACATACGGTGCCAGGTGGGTACCAGACCTTTCAGGAGGATCACTCTGTAAATTATGTAATTGTCTAACTACTCTGCCGTACATCTGAAAAAAATATAAAATAATATGGCATGTCAACGGTAATTGAAAATGAAAAAAATGGTCCTTTTAATTTTGAATAAATGCATTCTATTCATTTTTATTGTCCTGCCTTAGTTTAATTCAGTTATGATCTCTCGTTGGGAACAGCTATTTATTTCTCAGAGAAACCTGTGTGCTCTCTGGTCCTTCAGGTATCTTACTACTTTGGAATGGTGAGTTTATATGTCTAGGCCCTGTTCTTGTAAAGTAGGACTTTGAATGATGATTTTCTATCCCGTGCCTAGTTTTATATGTGACATGCAGTTGGGGTACAACCAGTGTTTTGCAAGTACATGAATTAATTTGTTATTAGATGTTAGTTTGGATGGCTTTAATATCATTGTGAACATCAGACAAAGTCATTTTTTTTGTTTTGGTTTACTTTTGGAAAAGTGTCTTTCAATGCCTTATTTGCTCAATAGCTAAAAATAGTTTCTGTAATTTTAGTGATCAAGGTTACAATGGACTCTGTTATATATTATCTCCAGGATATTCTCCCCATAATGCAAAAATAATCCTAAAAGTGACATAAATCAGTGCCATCTCAGAATATTGTGTTAAATGGGAAGAGGCAGGTGATATAAATCTTTAGTCTTAAGTCTATAATGTGGTAGCTGGATGTAAATGGTTTTCAGTATTTGAGTTATGATTTCAAATAATAGGGAAGTGTTGGATCCAGATTAAAAAAAATATTTTTATTGATTTCAGAGAGGAAGGGAGAGGGAGAGATAGAAACACCAATAATGAGAGAGAATTATTGATCCGCTGCCTCCTATACGCCCCCTACTGGAGATTGTGCCTACAACCTGGGCATGTGCCCTCGACCTGAATTGAACCTGGAACCTTTCAGTCCGCAGGCTGACGCTCTGTCTACTGAGCCAACCGGCTAGGATGGACCCAGATTTTATATGGCACAGGCCTGCATTTGCTAATAATTTCTGGAGGTAGTTATATTCCCTAATAATTTCTTTGAATCAAATAAATGAAGTTGTTGCTCAGAGGGGGGTGTATGAAAGACGGCAATCATTTTTCATGTGACTAGACTTTTTATAAGCCACAGGCCACTGGCTGAGGGGCCACCTTTCTGTTTTCTAAAGCACTATTCTGCTTAACTGCTAACTCTGCACTTGTGCTCTATTTGCAGCATCTGGCGAGGCCCCAACGTGAACTGCACAGACAGTTCGGGTTACACTGCTTTACACCATGCGGCCTTAAATGGACATAAGTAAGTGCCACTTATTTGGACTGGAATCCTTGTGTATTTCGTTACATGTGATGGAGTTAATTATGTCTGACGATCGCTGTCTGATGTTGCTATGAGTCCCCTGGGCTTACAGAAACTTGCATCAGGTAGCAACACCTACACGTCGAACTTGGTAGGAATGTTGCTGAGGATGATTCTGTGCGGAGTGTAAACTTAGAGACCTGCTCTACACTAGTCAGATGTCACACAGGGAGAATGAAAGAAGTGACAGGACATGCTAGTCAGGTGTAGCTTTGGGAGGGAATGGGATCAAACCACGTCCAAGACACCTTTTTGGTGTCTTCACCTAACATGGAATTATTCACTAGGAGCAAAATCTTAATAGATTCTTGCTGTTATGAACCACGGACACTTGCACAAACCACGTCAAAATCCTTCACATTTAGCTAACGTGCCTTTTCTTTGTCATTCATGACGGTCTTTCTGGTTTTAAACTTGTGTAACTAACCTATGGAACTATGCTTCAAAGAATGTGATAGTGTACAGTATGAAGAACAAAAGAATGTGTAACCATAGCAACCATTTCATTCCCATTGTTTTAGCGAGGTAACCTCCTGGGTTAGTGACAGAGTGTGAGGCATTCTCCGAAAGAGTCAAATGAAAAGTGACACTTTTTATGGGTCTCTTCCTCCTGTCTGTTTTTCCTTTGTTCTGCTGATCCAATTTGGTCTTCCCAACTCTGGATAGTTGATTTCAGAAAGGAAAGGAGAAGCAGAGAGAGATAGGAACATCCATGATGAGAGAGAATCATTGATCAGCTGCCTCCTGCACACCCCACACTGGGGATGGAGCTTACGACCCAGACATGTGCCCTGACCTGGCCATAGGTTGACACTAAACCACTTAGCCACACCAGCTGGATTCACTTTAGTTTTTTAAAGTTGATAATTACTGCCTTAAAACTCTACTTACTTTTTGTTTTCCCACTTTTTTTTTAAACTTTAGTCATATTTGATTATATTTTATGGCCTTAAAGGTTCTCACACAGGAAAGTTATAATATTTTAAAATTATTTTTCACTATACCTTTTATTTATCTTAAAAATTATTGCATAAAACTGACATTATTCTCTTTGGAGAGCCATCTGAATTATATATAAAATATCATAAACTTTTCATCACTTGGATTCTTAGTATCATTATTTCCAAATTATATATTTTTTTAATCCACTCTCTATTTTATATCATCTTATGTCCTCTAACTTAGAACTGTTTTATTTTGCCAGGTCTTTCTCAACTGTATTGCTGTCCTTCTGTAGAGTGGAATATGTGTCCAGATCCTTACGATCTGAATCTTTTCAAAGAATTGCTATTTATTTTCCTTTGTGCCATATACAATATGGCTCATCAGGAATGAAGCCAGATTTAATCAGCCCAAAGTACACAATGCTGATGGCCTCTCTGGCCAGCTTAGGTTTGGATTTCGGGAAGTTCCAGTTGGGAACACCAGATGACAAATAACTGAACTAAGATCAGAGGCCTGACCATGTGACCTATTCTACTTTTTTTCTTTTCCCTCAGCTTGCCAGTATAAGCACTTCTCAAAAAGAATGTTGTCCCCAAATGGATTAGCATTCACATCCCTCCTTGATTTTCATTGTTTAGTAAATGTTAATGATGTATCCATAATGGCCCATGAAATTCTAATTACTGAGATATATTGCATGGTGGTTCAATGCATAATTTTTTAGTTTCTGTTGGCAATGTACAAAGTGAAGCTAATTTAAGTGCATTGAATAGCATTTATTAAGATCATCATAAAGAGATATCTAGATATCTTTTAAGACCTAATTGCACATATACTCTGAGAATTATATCTTTGCTTTGCTTATCTGAAGATCTCATTGACCTTTTTAACATCTTCTAGAAAGATTTTACTCAGTGTCATTCTATAGGCATTGGAAAAAAGCAGGAAATTTCTAATTCTGTCTTCCCATCTCTGTTAGTTACTATGTGACCTTGAGCCATTTACTTAACCTCTCTAGGCCTCAGTTTAACATACTGGTATTTTTCCTTGTTTCCCCCAATTATAATATTTTGTGGTATATTGTTTTGTTATTATTTGTGGATCAGTTATGATGCTACAACTCTAAAATTCAAATTTTTATCTAAAGCAGTGGTTCTCAACCTTTCTAATGCCACGACTCTTTAATACAGTTCCTCATGTTGTGGTGACCCCCAACCATAAAACTACTTTCGTTGCTACTTCATAACTGTAATTTTGCTACTGTTAATGAATCATGATGTAAATATCTGTGTTTTCCAATGGTCTCCCCACAGGTTGAGAACCACTGCTGTAGAGCCCAAGACTATGATTGGGGGTCATCACAACATGAGAAACTGTGTTAAAGGGTCGCGGCATTAGAAGGGTTGAGAACCACTGATTTAAAGTATAAGATTGCCCTATTTTAAATTATTTAAATTACCCATGGACTTTTAAAATTGGAGATCATTTATTTCACCTTACTCTCCTCACTTCCCTCATTTATAGATGGAGAAATAAGGCCATTCTGGATAAGTGACTGAGTGGCCACTTAGATATTAAGGTGGGGTTGTGTTTAGAGTCTAAGTGTTGTAGTTTAAAGTGTATGATTTTACCAACACTCTATATTATCTCCCTTTTTTTTTGCCTACACACACTATCAGTTTCCTAAACTCTCGCTGGCTTTTCTCTGTCCCATTGTGCATTTCTGGGCTGCCTCCCATTGCCATCAACTAGAGTGTTCACATGGAATGCTAATTTTACTATTGTCTTAAGACATTTGAAGGAGAAAAAAATGTCATAGAATATATCTCAGAGCCAGAGAAGAAGGTTTTTCTTTTCTTTGCCTTTGCTATTCTCACTTGGCATAGGTAATGAACTATTGATTGTGTTGTATTCTTTCCAAGCAAGCCTTAGCAGTCAGCATGGAAACACATCATTTCCACGTGGGTTCCTATTGTTGTCGTAGCCATCAGCTCTAGATTGTTTCCATAAACACTGTGATTTTTTAGGCTGAAGTTTATGAAATCATAGAGCTAGAAATAATGTTACAGGGTCCTGTAGTTATCTTATTTTTGCTCTGAATGCAGGCTTTTTCCTACTCCCAACATATAATCTATGGACTTCTTACTGCATATTAAGCCTGTTTCCTCTTATTTTGTTTGCTTTTTGGTAGCACTTGTTTATCAACAGAAGTTAATACACAAGTGGAGCAGCATTTTGTATCTGATATACATTATTTTATAATGGACAATTCATCTCTACTTTGCCAGATTAGGACACAATAGAAAATATACTCTGTTGATGATTTCTTGGGTATTTATAATTGAAGATTAGAAAATTGTTGCTTTCAAATGTTTGAAAAATCATGGTCAGTAGAACAAAATTCAGTAGCAACAATTATAGATTAATTATTTCAATAGGCTATAGACCTATCTATTACTCTCTTTAAATATGGAAAATTCATCATCTCATGTATTTCTACTACAAATTTGATTCTTTTAATTTAAATAGTAACTAGCCAGTGTGGGGTGGAAGGCATTTTACTCTATCATTCCATATTCTTCTGATTCATCCAGCAATCAAATCAACATGAGACAAATTATTAACAAGAGAAAATAACCAAATTTATTGCATATATATATATATATATGGGAACCCCATATATGTTAGAGATTAAAAGACAGAAAGTTAAAATGAGATATATGTGACATTTGAGCTAAGGATGAGGTAAGGTTCCTGGGCCTGCAGAGGGGAGAAAGGTCATTATTAGGATGATAAAAAGAGCAAGTGTTCAGTAAATAGAAGATTGCCCTGCCCTACAATTAGATAGGTCCTAAGTTATTTCCGGTAATAATTCTTATTACAGGAAAGGCCTCTAATTTAGATTCTTTAAATTTGCCACTTTATTTCCATCAAGGAGAAATAAAATATTCAAGAAAGTCTAAAATTAACAGAACCTTCGTGAATTTAAGAATTTCATTAGTTTTGTTAATACCATATCCATATGAAGATGATTTGTATTTATTTCAAAGTTCTTTCGACTGCCAATAAGCAAAGGAAGACAGAACAAATTAAATATTTTTGGTTAGTCCTAGCTGGTGTGTCTCAGTTGGTTGGGCATCATCTCATGCATCAAAAGGTTGCTGATTCTATTCCTGGTCAGGGTACCTGCCCAGGTTGCAGCTAGATCCCCAGTAGGTGGCATGCAGGAGGCAACCAATCCATGTTCAATCCTCATATTGCTGTTCCTTGCTCTTTGTCCTTCTCCCTTCCTCTCTCTCTAAAAATCAATAAAGACAATCCTAAAATAAAAAACAATCTTTGGTTATGATTTAATTATAGGAAAACTTGCTGTTGAGGTAAAAAAAAAAAATAGAATTTTGAACCTTCCCAATTAGCTTAATTTTACTCAGACCCTAAACTGAAACTTAAAAAAAAAAGTTTCATATTAATTGGCAGTATAGTTATACTTATCAGAAAATGATATAATAGTGAAAAATCAACACTTTTAGATATATTAGCCTCAAGTTGCAAAATGTTGCATTGCTTTGAATTGGATTATTATTAAATTTATTTGATATGTTGTTTAGCTCCTGGGGAATGGGATTATTTTTTCTATGATCCCATCAATCACATTTACTTTAGAATTTTAAGTCATTTCTTATTTATTAGATGCTGCATATGAGGAAAAGTACTATTTTATGTTGAAGTTAAATAGGAATTACTTCTCTGCTTGCTATAGACTTGTTCATCAATATAACTTAATATTTCATATGAGGTAACCAAGCATAGTCAACCTATTTATTTGTTGATACCTTTAGAAGTTATAAGTTACAACTTAAAGAGATATTAAGAAAATACTGATTTGATGGGATCCTGGTGTTAACTACTTTTTAAATTTAGGTATTATAGAAAGTACCGGAAATTTGATTTGAATGAGTTTGGATGAAAAAGCTTATGTAGTACATATTACATGTGACATACATGGATACATCAGAAAAAAAAAGATTAATGACAATTTGTTGATTAATATTTTATGATTTAGTAAGGCACTTATTTGATTAGAGATATAACTTTATATTTCACAAACATATTTTCACATTATAAATCTAAGCCAAGCCAGTTCATTAGCTGAATATCTCTGAATAAGGTGAAAAGATCAACTTAAATAAAAATTAAAAATAAATGTAAATTAAAAAATAAATTTAACAAAGTGAGTAAACATTTTAAAAACGTAAATAAAAATAACAGTATTTAATTAGATTTTATTGTTCACCAAAGGCCATTGCATAAACATCCGTAGTATTACTCTTTTCTGATTTAGCTATTGGCAAGTGGTGCAGGGTTGGAAAGAGTTTTCCTCCTTCCCTTTTGGCTATTTGGCTGGTTTGATAATTAAGTTGATGTAAGAAAGATTAACTGGCCCTGGTCAGTTTTGCTCAGTGTATAGCGCATTGGCCCACAGACTGAAGGGTTGCAGGTTCAATTTCGGTCAAGAGCACATACCTTGGTTGCAGACTTGATTCCTGGCACATGTGTCTATTTCACATTGATGTTTCTTTCTTTATCTTCCCCTTCTTTCCACTCTCTTTAAGAATCAATGAAAAAATATCATTGGGTGAGGATTAACAAAAACAAAAAAAAAACAAAAAGAGTAACGGGAGGAAAGAAAATAGAAATGTAATAACATGTATACTTCCTGTATGTATGGTAGAGATCAGGGAAACTGAGTAACTCTCCCAAAAGCCACCACCTTAAATACCATTGCTAGCTAAAGACAAACGATGTTGGGGCAGGGAGTGAGGGAGGAAGCCAGTTATGGGGGGAAAAAGCACAGTAAACAAGAGTATGGGGTTGTCTGCAGATTTAAGTTCCTGCCTTCTCCATTGATAAGAGTTTATTGAAATTAAGACTGAGTCAGCTTTTTCCTGCTGGTACACAGAAGGAGATACTCTTACAAATCGAGATTTCCCTGATCAATGCAACCATTTCTTACAACAGAGTAACTTCTCAGCTTTCAGAGCTCTCCCCATCTTAAAAGTAACCAGCCTAAAATCATCTTTGTGTCAAATAGGCATATTTTGGGGTGGTATATTCTGCTCTCCTCAAGTTCAGGGCACATTCTGGGTAATGTTTTTCTTTTTTTTAAAAATCATTTACTATCATTTGTGTTGTGCCATGTTTATTTATTTTTTTGTGATGTGGAGGAAGAAAACATTTTAATCTATCCTTATAGATTTTTTTCAGCTGGTCTAACCAAATTGACATGAGGCAGACTATTAACAATAGAAAAACAACCAAATTTAATTACATTCATATGTACGGAAACCTCACATTCATGAGAGTCGGAGACCCCACATACGTGAGTTGTTCAGAGGGAGACAGGCAAAATGAGGTACAGATGACTTCCTGAATCAAGGAAGGCAGTTAGACATCTGAGGCTTCAGAAGAAGAGAAGAACATCCACAGATCCAATAAAAAACCAGATGTTCAGTAATTAGATGTTTGTCCCACCATACAGATAGATCAAAAGAGGTCATCTCTGATAATAATTCTTATTATGGGCAAGGCCCCTAATTTCATTTCTTCTAGGCTCTTTGGCCCCTTGAGTGTGGCTCTTCCACAAAATACCACAGCCTGGGCGAGTCTGTTTTGAAAAAGTGGCATTAGAAGAAGTTTAAGTTTAAAAAATTTGGCTCTCAAAAGAAATTTCAGCCTTTGTACTGTTGATATTTGGCTCTGTTGACTAACGAGTTTGCCAACCACTGTTCTAGGTAGTTGGGGTGTGGGGGACAGACATTTCTTTTAAACCCACAAGATCTCAATTGCCTTTAGTTAAAAAAAAAAAAATCCACATACCACAAAGGCTCATCTTGGGCGACTCATTCTAAACGCCAACAGTGGGCTATCAGAGTTATAACTCCTATTAAGATTTCCTCCAACTTTTCTCATTTGTTACATTTAAAGGCTGGCTTTATGAAATATTTAAATGTAGGTCTTTATGTTATATTCATCCTCACCACTGGTGATTTGTTATATCTGAGAAACAACGTTAGAATATGTTGTGATCATCTGTTTGTATGTATTTCTTTAGCTAGCTAGGATTTCATTTAGCGAATGAATAGAATTTGCTTTTTAAGTGCATCCAATTGAAAATATAGTTGGTCAGTTGTTCTTGATTGTTTGTTGCCAAGTTCAGTGTAATTATACTAATAATTATGAATTAATTCCTCCTGAGGTTGAGTATTGCAATTCAGAAATTTTACTTTGAAAACCTGGTGGGATTTAGTACAAAATCCTATAGGTAGGATATATTGAGTATGTACTGAAATTGCATCAATGATAGAACTTGTCTCATGAATGAATTTACCTCTTAAAATGATTCTTTAGGCTTGAGAGGACAAAGGTGAATGAGTGCAGAGGTATGAACAATACACATTCAAAGTATATTGTGTGCTATCGCTGAAAATTAATTAAACTTCCCCCCCCCAACCTTGGGCTTGTACTACAGCGAGACCTTAAAAGTCCCTTTCTTATTGTGCTGTCTGCTTTCTCTTGTATATGCATCTTCAGTTACATATTGCAGTTCTCAATAGGAATGATACATAAACTCCCTAAATGTCTGTTGGTAGTATAATAAACTTTTTTAAAAAAAAGTAAGCAAGGAGTTTGCTTGTACTTAATTTTTTTCTTTAGGCTAAATCTCAGGTGTGGGCTATGTGGAAGAAACTACATTTTTTTTTTTAAATGGGAAGAGGTATGCTTTTAAATTATTTTACTTAATTCATTCTGTTAATGATATTAGATAAAATTTTCCCCAAATGACTTCTATTAAGTCGTTTCATCAGTTAGTCAACGCTCTGTGTGAGTATGTGTGGCAGTGGCCATTTTTCAGGTAAGTTCAACAGATGTTCAGTAAGCAGATTCTTAAACCCAATTTTATACCTCAGTACCTTGAATTATTTTTCTAAATTGCCACCCAGCTTCTAGTATACTTTAATGATGACCTATTTAATAAAATCCGTGTGGTTCAGCATATTTTCTTTTCTGTTGTGTGCTTTTCTTCTTCTTCTTTTTCTCCTTAGGGAAATAGTTCTCAAACTACTTCAATATGAGGCATCAACAAACGTAGCAGACAACAAGGGTTATTTTCCTATTCACCTGGCTGCCTGGAAAGGAGATGAGGAAATTGTGAAGATTCTTATTCATCAGGGGCCATCGCATTCCCGAGTCAATGAACAGGTGCACTTGTCCAGTGTTTGCTCATGCTATACCTTTTCTAGAGTTTTGAGAAGGCAAAGACACAAGTGAAAATTTAAATTATTTAAAAATGAGACTAAAAAGTGAATGTGAAAAGATTTGATTACGTCTGTCTTTACCCTGCCAAAAACTTTTCCACTTCTGAATTTCCTGAAGGGAAATTTAAAAATTTCTTTGGCATTTGTATACAGTACTTAGGTACTAATTTGCGCCATTTGTTAAGATATTTGTTAATAAGAAATCCCTATTTAAAGGAAGTAGTTGTGATATTTTTGCCTGCCTTATAAAAGAATAGATTTTATAATTTTTGGATATTTAAAGATAGAATGGAATTCACATTTATGTGAATTAGAGCTTTTCTTAGTACAATTTTAAGTACTACTGAAATAATGATAACTATCATTTGTATAGTGATTTACCATTTACATAGCACTTTCACAGTAAGTGCCTTTTGCAAATCAAAATACAATGTATAGAGTTGCTAGTCACAAATTAAGTGAAACATTTTCTATGTATGTAAATATATACACATGCCTAGAGTAAGTTGAGTAAAACACCAACAGCAGTTGATACCACAGGTGAAGACATAATATTTGCAAGTGCATAATATTCACATTACTCAAAACAGACATATTAAAAGAGGAAGGCCATTGTCAGTATTCTAAATAAATAAGACCACAGATTCCAGAAAGCAGAATAAAGTCCCCTGAAATAGTACGATAACAAACATCTTAGCTCCGCATGCCCCCTACTGTTCCCATTTTGTAAAACAATATTTGAAAAACAGCATGCAGTCCAACAATTGAATTTCAACCATGGCATTAAGCTGCAGGTTGGCAGCTGTCCAATATCAATGCCAGTAGGTTACTCTAGGGCAAGCACATCTAATAAAGTGTAATTAGCATATTGTTCAAATAGATACAGACTTTGCAGGGCCTTGGATGAAATTCAGACTGAAGAGTAAAAAATCACACTATCACTAGCTATAAGCAGCAAAAGGAAGAAAAACAATTTGTTTTTCCAAAATGCAATAGGAAGCACTAATCAAGAAAAATGTTTTATTAATTTTCTTAGTAATACTTACTACAATAAAAATGTCTGTGTTTACAGGTTAAAGATGCAGAATATTTTTAATGAGAGTACACACATAAGTCTGATCTTAAAAAAAGGCAGGTATGGCTCAGTGTATCATGCTAAAAGGAAATGTATGAGAATGCTGTTCTGTTCTTCAGAAAACCAGAAGTTAAAAGATCATTTGTGGTATGAGCCATCTGGTGGTTATTCTGAATAACTGTTTGAATGCCCCAAAGCAAAAACCTGAAATAAAATGGAAAAATAATCCAAGGTTAAACAAGAGGATTAATTTTTACAAACAAAATATTTTTTAAATGACATGACAATAAGAAAACACACACACCTAGAATTCATTTATATTTGAAACTTGACCATTTTAAATGGGGTATGACTGCAATGGTAAGTTTTAAAGAGAAACACTGGTTTTGTGTGATGTTAAATATTAAAAAAAAAGTCTTTCCCAAGGAGATTCTTTTTTCACTTCTATATTTTGTGCTTTGGCTTCAATTTGGTTTCATATTAGGGCACCCTATGTCTTCATTCTCTTACTTATAAGGAAAATGAAATGAAACTTAATTTGGGAGACCTCCCTGTACATCTTCCATTATCAGGAATTTACTGGTTAGTGGGGGCACCAGACCAGGTGGATGCTGTGCTCCCCTCCTCCTATGATCACATCACATTTACAGCTAAGTTACCGAACAGTCAGCCTGGCGAGCCATCTGAGGACTGGCTGAACAGAAGTCCTAAACTAAGCATATAAAGAAGCAGCCATGCCTGGCCGGTGTGGCTCAGGAGTTGAGCTTTGACCCATGAACCAGGAGGTCAGGGTTTGATTCCTAGTCAGGGCACATGCCTGGCTTGCATCCCCTAGAGGGGGAATGCAGGAGGTAGCTGATCAATGATTCTCTGTCATCATTGATGTTTTTATCTCGCTTTCCCTCTCTCTTCCTCTCGGAAATCAATTAAATATATATATCTGAAGTCCCATTGAGACAGCAACAGTGTACTTAAAAAAAAAAAAAAAGAATTGATGGATTTATTTGTCCTTTGGAAAGCCAGGCTATTGAAAGTGTGTTATAATTGTTATTAATCTCCCTCATTAACAAATATCACACTGAAACACTGACCATCTGGGCCCAGCAAGGCCACCGACTAACACGGCTAAATCATTTATCACTCTTGGAAACTGGAATAAATAATGTAGGGAAAAGTTAGATTGTTCCCCTCCCCCACCATTGAAGCGATAAAAATCAAATGTGATATTTTTTTGATGCCATCCATGATGCGTACTTCTATCAGATATAAAATTTTATTAGGAGTATTTACCAAAATAGATACATCTGAAACGCATTTTCAAAGCACCTGAGTTTTTAGATGGTGGGGTTCACATTTTGATAAGGAATTGGGTTTCTGAAAACGTGCATTTTATGCGTTGACAGAACAATGAGAATGAAACCGCCCTGCACTGCGCAGCTCAGTACGGACACTCGGAGGTGGTGGCCGTTCTGCTGGACGAGCTCACGGACCCCACCATCAGGAACAGCAAGCTGGAGACGCCGCTGGACCTGGCGGCGCTGTACGGGCGGCTGCGGGTGGTCAAGATGATCATCAGCGCGCACCCCAACCTCATGAGCTGCAACACGCGCAAGCACACGCCGTTGCACCTGGCCGCCCGCAACGGCCACAAAGCGGTGGTCCAGGTGCTGCTGGAGGCAGGCATGGATGTGAGCTGTCAGGTGAGGCTTCTGTTCGCTGGGCTTTTCAAGGGATGTTGCTCTTGTGCTGCTTTGAGATGCAGATGCTAAAAGTTACATAGAGAGCCCGGCCAGCGTGGCTCAGTAGTTAGGGTCCTCAGTAGTTAGGAACTATGAACCGGGAGGCCACAGTTCGATTCTGGTCAAGGGCACATACCTGGGTTGCTGGCTGTATCCCCATTAGGGGGCGTGCAGGAGACAGTCGATCAATGGTTCTCTCTCATCATTGATGTTTCTATCTCTCTCCTTCCTTTATGAAAAAAAAATTATACATACATACATTTTATATATATATATATATATATATATATATATATATATATATATATATATATATATATATATATATATTTAAAAGAAAAAAAATACCACATACGTAGAGATCGTACCATTGTTTGATTAGTCAAATTGTCTGCAAGTATTTTTGTAACTACTTAAGTTCAAGGCACCCTGTCATACACTTTTGGGAAATATGAAGAGATAGAAGGCATGATCTCTAACCTCATTCTAATTTGAGGGCTATCTAATGAAAAATTATTCTTGGATGGCAGTTGTGTGTGGTATCCTTAGTAACTGTTTTCTTTTCTTCTAGTAATTAGCACACACTAGGAATCCATCAAAGTTGAATGAATGAATGAAATGAAATTCACTTGAACATTTTGAGTATGTACTTTGTGTTTAATATGTCACCACATTTAGAATCCAGTTCTCCACAACTGTCCGGAGGGACTGAGAGCTGTTACATTCCAGTTAAGATATGAGCAATCAGATTCAAAGATTTAAGAAACTTGCCAAAGGACACATAGCTGATATATCCAGAATGTGAATTTAGACTTCCTGATTAAAGTCCAGGCCTCTTTCCACAACAATGTGCTGTATGTACATAATGAATGAAGGAAAGGCCATTGTACCTAAGGCTATCAGAAAAAATGTTTAGCCAAAAATCGGTGTGGCTCATTGGATAGAGCGTCGGTTTGTGGACTGAAGGGTCCCAGGTTCGATTCCGGTCAAGGGCATGTACATTGATTGCAGGCACATCCCCAGTGGGGGGTGTGCGGGAGGCAGCTGGTTGATGTTTCTCTCTCATCGATGTTTCTAACTCTCTATCCCTCTCTCTTCCTCTCTGTAAAAAAATCAATAAAATATATATTAAAAAAAAGTTTATTGGAGATGTGGTTAGAGTTGAGCTTTGAAGGATGGATAACACTAGGATAGATTTTGTTTCTCAACAAGGAAATGGTAACCTACTTTTATTATCTGTTCCAAGTTACCAAAACTTTAAAAAATATATATATTTTATTGATCTTTGACAGAGAGGAAGAGAGAGGGATAGAGAGTTAGAAGCATCGATGAGAGAGAATCATTGATCAGCTGCCTCTTGCACATCCCCAACTGGGGATGTTCCTGCAACCAAGATACATGACCTTGATCGGAATCAAACCTGGGACCTTTCTGTCCGCAGGCCGAAGCTCTATCCACTGAGCCAAACTGGTTTTGGCTACCAAAACTTTTAAAAACTATTTTATTCTTTTCTTTTCTGTTTTTTTTTTTTTTTTTTTTTGGCTCCCACGTGAGTGGTGGCATTCTTATCTTCTGGTTCCTGTCAGGTTGTGATCTTTTCCCCTGTGTATTAGTAAGCTATTGCTGCATAACAGACTATGCCCGAACTGAATGGCTTCACACAATAACTGTGTATTTAGCTCATAATTCTGGGGTTGGTAGTTTAGTCTGAGCTTATCTGGGTAGTTCCATCTTGGCTGGGTCCTCTCATTTGTCTGGGGTCAGCTGTAAGTCAGTAAAGTGGCTCTGTGTCAGGGACTGACTGGATGTTGCCTGGGAGAATAGGTGAGATTGGAATGTCTTCTTTACACTACCTTTCTCTCAAAAAGTGCTGAGCCCAGCCAGCTTGGCTCAGTGGTTGAGCATCAACCAGAAGGTCAAAGGTTTGATTCCCAGTCAGGGCACATGCCCAGTATTACCCCTATTCTATTCTCTCTCCCTTTCCCTTCCTTTCTAAAATCAATAATATAAATATAATAAAAGGGGGGAAAAAGAGAAGTGCTGACATTACAGAGAATATGTATGAATATATAAAATGACACAATTTTTAAAAACCTGTAATCATTCCTAATGCAACTGTGCTTCTTTTTCTTATTTTTTTTTTTTTCCAGACAGAAAAGGGGAGTGCACTTCATGAAGCAGCTTTGTTTGGAAAGGTGGATGTTGTGAGAGTTCTGTTAGAAACAGGTAACTACCATGAGTCCCCATGGAGCTTATTCTACCAAATACTATTTTTATTTCAGGAGTAAAAGAAAACTACTTATTTATTTTTTACATAATGCCCTTCTTATTTTCCCTCCAAATTGCAGTTTTATATTCATATCATGCAGAATTGAGCCTCAGTGTTTAAAATTGGTATAAATGTGTACTTTTTTTTCAGTTAGTAGATGTTTTAGTAAAAAGCTCTTAGAAATTAGAATGATGTACATTTAAGTCACAGTAAAATGTACTGGAGCACCTTCCAAAAGGAAAAGGAAATCTCTGCCTTCCACAAGAGGAAGCATCCTGTGACGTTATGACAATTGCTTTGTTTATTAAAGAACAGAATATTTCCCTCTCTCTTCATATTGCGAACTGTGGTAAACAGCAGTTCCAGTTCTCTATCCTTAAGGCAAATTCTCCTTCTGTATTTTTTTCACCAACTGAGTTGCTGTTGTTTGTCAGCTGCAGTGATTTAAAGGGGACCTTTTAGAGGGAATGCTTTGAAAGAAAAAGTAAGTTTATTTGTCTTCGTGGGCATATTGTGATTAAAATGAAATAAAATTGAAACAAAGGAGAGATTATTTTTTTCAGGATCAAAAGGCATGAGTACCAATTCATACTTGGAAACAATTGATGAGCCTTTTGTGTTATGGGATATTTCATGCTTTTATTTTCCTCTGTAAAAAAAAAAGTGTAAAATATTGGCACACTATGGCATTTTGGTTGTGTTTATACAAAGTTAAAATGTCATGTATCTTGAACTTGACATGTAACACAGTGATATATTAAATGTGTCGAGGCACATTTAATTAAATGTGTTGAGGCACATTTAATTAAATGTGTGCTAGTCACACATCCCTACACAATTGAAAAATAATAAAAACAATACGTACTCTTACTATGATGAACATTTGAGGCCAGATACTGAAAAGTGGCTCTGTTTGTCTTCAGATGTTTGGAAATTTATAAACATTTTTAGGGTGGCGAAAGCTATTTGCTACATTAAGTTCTTCTGTGCAGTATGTATTTTCTGAATTAAAATAATTCCAACAGTTTTCAATTATGCACTTCAGTAAGTTTGCTCACCATGCAGATGATGAGTGTTGCTAACATTGATGAAAATTTATGAAATATTTGACTTTGGTATTTGGACAAGAGTTCTAAATAATCATACTCTTTCAACTTTCATGACTATTCAAGTAGTTATGACTGTTATATTATTCACATGGTACTTTAGTATAATTTAAAAATATTTTTTGACACACAGACCATATAAATCACATGGCCATTATACTTTAGGAATTCACATTCTAAATGAATATTTTCAGCTTGTCCCATTTAGTTTACAATTTAAAATAGCTATCATCCTAAAAAAAAATTCTTAAAGAGTTAATTCATTATTAAGATTATTCCTAATATTTGATAGCAGTAGACGCCCACCTTCTGTTTTACTAAAATCTTACATGTATATGTGTGCACATGTGACTTAATTAAAAAAATGACTTTTTAAACGTGCTTAGTGTATGTTTGAAATTAGAGCAGTTATACATTAACAATTCCTTCTGGTCACTCCAATGTTGTATATCTAGTGGGATTTTCTTTTTTCTTTCAGGCATTGATGCCAATATAAAGGACAGCTTAGGGAGAACTGTCTTAGACATTCTGAAAGAACATCCATCTCAGAAATCTCTCCAGATTGCAACCCTCTTACAAGGTAAACAGCATTGAATGATGGATGAGTGTGCCTTAAAGTTAAGATTGAATTAAAACCGTCCTAGTTTTCCCTTGGGGTTTGAGTTCATGTTTACCTTTGAATGAACTTTTTCTTTGCATTTTTTTCTAGTAGACTTTTAAACTAAAAAAATTCTTTGTAATGTTTTATTTTGGTTTTTCAACTATTCAGTATTTTAAGAAAAGCTAAGGTCTTTTTTCATGCACTTGATATTAGTCTCTCTTAAACACATATATTAAATATGTAGTGATGAACTGGAAGGTAGAAGGTTATACAATGATGATAATTAAGTATTATATTACATTTGAGTAACCCTTAAAAGAGTTTCTAGGGATTTTTGTTATTTTGTCTTATTTCTTTAATCTGTGAGGGTAGTAAGTCAGATTGCCATTGTTGTGAAGTTCTGAGACTTGCTCAAACTCGTATATTCTAATCGGAGTGGTGGAGTTCGTACACAAATGCTGGGTTAACAACGGTAAATTGTATGTAGATTTTTTCTCCCTAATCCAGCAGTGCCAATAGTTCCGCCTTGCCAGCTCTGTTTTTTATAAAGGCTATTTAAATACTTTTGTAGTTAGTTGCAGTCACTAGGTATACTGAAGGTTTGACAACCGTTTAGGTACTGCTTTTTTTGTTTTTCAGGATTACATACGTCCCCGTTTGATTGAAAACTTCTCTGAAAAATTTAGATTTAGACCAGCCAGTGTGGCTCGGTGGTTGAGCATCAACTCGTGAACCAGAAGGGCACATGCTAGATCCCCAGTGAGGGGTGTGCAGGAGGCAGGGGATCAGTGATTCTCTCTCTGAAGTCAATAAAAAAAAAGCATTAAAAGAATTTAGATTTAAATGCTCTCCCTTTCTGCTTGGTGCGAGGCCTGGCATGTAGCATGTTCCCTTAAAAACTCAGAGGTTTGTTCTCTCCATTCCAGTCAGCCCAGGCACTATTCAGCTGCGATTAGCCCCTGTAATTGTTACGGATTGGCTGCAAATGTAATTGAGACGGGAGGCTGGACAGGTTTCATTTGATTATCAGTTGGGGGGCTGAAAACAGCTTTGTCCTGCAGGGAGATAAGTGAATTACAACCAAGTGAGCAGGAGAAATGTAGGGTCAACAAGGGCCAAAGCTGGGTAAGGAGAAGAGAGATACACTCCAGGAGGTCATTATGCTCTCTTCTCTCCACATTTCCAAAACCTCTTACAGAAGTTCAGGCCCCTACCATTTTCTTGACAATAAAGAAGTTAATTTTAAGTCAAGTGCTTATAAAGATAAATCAGAGGAGAGTATAAGAGTGGCACTTCATATCAATTCAAATTAAAATCGAGTCGAATCAAAGCTGAAACATAAAAGTAGTACGCAGCATTTTTATAAGTCTTTCTCCTCCAGGTGATCTGTATTTCATGTTGGGTTTTTTACTCTGAGATTTAAAAAAAAAACACAACCCAACAACTGAGGCTTGTGCATAGTGTATTTTTGGAAAAAGCAAAATAAATATACACTAAAAAGGGAGCATGACAGAATTACAGACATTTTTTATAAGATGCTGCATTAGTTCAACTTAAAGAAAATGTCCTTATAGAGGAATAACTGTGTTCTTTTAAATGATCATGATTCATTAGGTATGACAGTTTGTGATAGGGAACATGGGACACCTTGGAATTTTTAAAATTATTGGAAAACTTTAGAATGTGACACGTTCTATATTCTTTATATTCCTGTATTTCAAGTCACTGGTGCATTTTTTTCCCCCCTCAGAAAGAGAAAAGGAGAGAGATAGAAACATCAATGATGAGAGAGAATCATTGATTGACTGCCTTCTGCACACTCCACACTGGGGATTGAGCCCACAACCCAGGCATATGCCCTGACTGAGAATTGAACCGTGACGATCTGCTGGTTCATAGGTTGACACTCAATCACTGAGCCACACCGGCTGGGCTCACTGATGCAGTTTAAATCGTATGAAAAAGTTTGTTATAGCCAAAACCGGTTTGGCTCAGCGGTAGAGCATCGGTCTGCGGACTGAAAGGTCCCAGGTTCGATTCCGGTCAAGGGCATGTACGTTGGTTGCGGGCACATCCCCGGTAGGGGGTGTGCAGGAGGCAGCTGGTCGATGTTTCTCTCTCATCAATGTTTCTAGCTCTCTATCTCTCTCCCTTCCTCTCTGTAAAAAATCAATAAAATATATTTAAAAAAAAAAAGAAAAGAAAAAGAGTTTGTTATAGCAATAAAGCCAATTGATAGTAGATAAAATTACTATTTGTGTCCCAGGAGAAATTCAGTTTTCATAATTACTGCATTAGTCAAAACTTTTAAGCATAGAAGCCTATAAGTTGCTTTCTTTTCCTAGTAGGATGTGCCTAGTAGAATCGCCCTTAGTTAAAAACTATTTGAATGATGTGAGGACATCCGTGGCCGGCAGGAGAGCACAAACTTTCTAAACTGGATTTTTTAAAAAAGGTTTCTTCTGAACCAAGAAATGCAAGTAAAAAATCCCCATAGGGAGGGATCTATTCATTTAATTCTAACCACTGGGAGCTGCCTGCTTGGAGGAGATAGCAGATACATTTTGTAGATCACATAGTTTAGGTCACACTATTGCCATTTAAAAAAATTGAATTAGCTTTCAACATTTAAAAATCTTAGATTTTAGTTAAAACTCCAGAGTTTTTATTTTTTATTTTTTATTTTTTTTAAATGCAAGCTCGTCTAACCGGTTTGGCTCAGTGGATAGAGTGTTGGCCTGCAGACTCAAGGGTCCCAGGTTCGATTCCGGTCAAGGGCATGTACCTTGGTTGCAGGCACATCCCCAGTGGGGCGTGTACAGGAGGCAGCTGATCAATGTTTCTCTCTCATCGATGTTTTTAACTCGCTATCCCTCTCCCTCTCTCTGTAAAAATCAATAAAATATATTTAAAAAAAACTGTCAAAATATGCAGGCTTTCTTTTTCCTTCATTGCCTAACTTTAGGTGGTGTACTCCTCTCTAGCTACTCTTGGTCTGTGTGCTCTCTGCTCTTCCATGACACTGGTGCTGACTATTTGTGGATATTTTCTCTACATTGAGGTGCTGTTTTCTTTATGTTCAAAAGTGAAATGTTTTCTTGTCCTGTGTCTTTTTGGCTCTGCCACTCAGCTGTATGAATGAGGCCAAGTTAAAGTTCTTTTCCTTTAGTTGTCATCTTTAAAACTAACATTGTAATAGTGCCTGTGTTGTCGTTTTGTGAGGATTGAGTTAATTTATATTAAATACTTAGAACATTGCTGGAAACATAGTAAGCAAAATTTTCATTTTAGCTGCTGTTACTAACTTCATCAAAGTTAAAAAATGAGAGAGAGACTGAGTGTGGGACATTGCTCTGAGAATAATGAGAAAGAACATTATTTCTTTGTAGGAATAAAGTTTAATATGCAAGCATGCTTATCTTTCTAGGTGACAACACCATATTATCATAAACTTATCCCCCTTCATTCATTTAGGTGATTTGACTAGTTGTTGTATCCAAATGAATTTGACATTTCTGCTTAGGAATCAAGTCTCTTCAAAGCATCTTTCAGAGTTTTAAATCTTTAGGCAGAATACATTTACGGAAACCATGAATGTTATTGTGTTTTCAACAGGTGAAATTATTTTTTTTAAAATTTATTATTGTTTTCAGAGAGGAAGAGAGAGGGAGAGAGAGAAACATCAATGATGATAGATAATAATTGATTGGCTGCCTCCTGTACGCTTCCTACTGGGGATCAAGCCTGCAACCAGAATGTGCCCTTGACCAGAATCAAACCTGGGATTTTTCAGTCCAAAGGCTGATGCTCTATCCATTGAGCCAAAGTGGCTAAGGGAGGTGAAGTTATTTTTAAGGAAAGAATGGATTAAGCTTAGTCTTCAGAAAAAGGGTTCATAAGTCTCTTCCAAAATAACTTTTTTGTTTTCATTAAGAGCTTTAAGTTAATAGCTCACCGTGAAGTTTTTTTTTGCTTTATGAAGTTCTTATAAAAACTTAGGATGTATTTAGGATATGAGGAAAGACATGAAAAATGGTTACCAGTGGTAAAGCATGAAGTTTAGTTAAAGATATTAAAATAAATGAATTCAAATATGTAATTTAAAACTTATACACAGAATATTTAGAAGGCACGGGAAGACCAGCAGTCCTGGAAGCACATGTACAAGAATGTACGTCACAGGAAACACACCTCTCGTCTCCTCTTGAGTCTCCTTCCCCAAAGTCGAAAAGTGAGTAGCTAATTTTAAATCCTTGAAATGATATACTGGACTTTTAGTTACAACTTTGTCCTATCTATACAAAATGGCTAAGCCTTGGGAAAATTTCAAGTCTAATAAGTTCTACCTTATTCCTCTATATTTTATCCATTTATTCAGCCAGCATTTATTGAGCTCCTACTATTTGTCAGGCCCTACTCACTGCCCTGAGGTACAAAGGTGAGCAAGGTAGAGAGCAATCACTGCTGCCATGAAGTTTACATGGAGTGGATATTTCATTGTAGGTTATTTTTTCCTAAAATGTATTTTTAAGGCAGAATAAAAAATATTGATCTCTGGATTGTAACTACTGGATTTGTTTCCAGAATAAATTATCAGTATAAAGTGCCATTCTTAGAATGATTAGAAAAATGAATATTTGCATGCAACCCTCAAATATGCATGTTTTGACAGGTGCTGCATATTATTTACCTGTTTCTTCCGAGTCTTCCCTTAATGCCACATATCATAATTCTAATTTATTAATTACTTGTTTTAATACGTTCTACTGTTTATTTTTTATTAAACCTAGGAAGTGGGCTCCTAGTATAATTTTAAATTTGCTAATGAGTTGTTGAATGAATTCTGTCAGTGAAGTGTAATGCTGATAAAAGAGTGTGGAAAATTAAATGCTGTAGTAAATGAAGGTTTAGGAATCATAATTCCAGATATGTACCAGGTATATGTGAACCTTCAATACTTATTTCCATTTGGAAAAATAATAATTATAGGCAAAATTGATATTTCTCATTGTGTTTAAATATTCTTCTACTATTTATAGTTTAGTATCTTGTTTTTAGCAGAATAGTTTGAGTACTTGATCTTGTTTGCCATATTTTGAGTTCTATTACCATCACAAGTCCTATTTCTATTATTTGACACTAAGTTTTATCAGTGGCCTTTTTTGAAACTTTGAAAAAATTTACTGTCCCCTTAATAGGTGAAACTGTGACTGGAGAATTATCAAAACTCCTGGATGAAATAAAACTCTGTCAAGAAAAGGATTATTCTTTTGAAGACTTGTGCCACACAATATCAGACCACTACTTAGATAATTTGAGCAAGATTTCAGAGGAAGAACTTGGGAAAAATGAAAGCCAGAGTGTAGTAAGTAATGGGGGGGATGGGCAAGAAGACAGTTTGTCTTTACCAGTGCAGAGTGCACCGAAGAGGCATGGGCTTTGTGCATTCTCTTATTTGCTGACTCAGCCAGTGTCAAATCTCAGGCTACCTATTACTTTTCCCTCGTATTCGTTGGTGTTTTATTCTCACTGCATGGGGATGGGAAGGGATGCTTAGATAAATCACTTGTAGTTTGTTATGATCTCGTTACTGTTAGATGTTTGTAGTTGCATAGTTTCTTTGATTATGTTCTTTTAGTTTTACTGGGTGTGATGATACTGGTTTCCTTTTGTCTTCCCTCCCCATGTTGTCTGTAAACTGTGGCTAACTCTATCTGAAGAAGACAGAGCCCTGTGTGTATGGTCACTCCACGTGTCATTGTAGGACAGAGACATGGTGGGAAGTTCGACCTCCATGTTTTTTATAATCCCGAGGGCTTTACCTGTAACCTACAAGCTCAGAATCTGAATCATGAGTTACAGATGCTTGCTTGTTTGGGTTTTTGTATTGGCACAATAGCAAGAAAAACTGTATATAATAGAATCAAGCAGTTTAAAATTAAGATTTGGATATCTATCTTGTGTCCTGTAGAGGAAAGATTTATAGGATGCACTGGAATTAAAGGAAATATATTATGATGATACTTTTATAACTTGTTTTGGAAACATTTTCTTCAAAAGTTTAGAGTGGATTGTGTTAAAGGGGTGCCATATGACTTATGAAGACAAAAATAAATGGCCAAGTATCGTGACTGGTATGAGGCTCTTTACTTCATTTAGTCAGTCACGGTGAGCTTTCCCAGGTAGTAGCTGTTAATTTGGAAGGTCACTGCTGGTCTTGCCACATAGGCCTGCTTTTGTTTTTGTTTGTTTGTTTGCTGCACTCTGTTTTGTAAAACATCACACCGTTGGCTCCAATAGAAGGTCTTTATGAATGATGATGATTAATGATATAGTATATGTGCAGAAGTAAATACTTGGTTTTACCAAAAGAAAGAATTTATATTAATGAAATATTAATGATAGTAACCTTAATGTCAGGAGAAAATTCCCTGTTTAAAAATAATAAAAAGGTATATGCTATCTCCAAATTACAAAGCAATTACATTTCAACATTTCCTTGAAATTGGTTAGAAATGAGACCACACTTTTTTTTTCTGCATAAACAATCTATAATGTTTAGGTTTTTATATCTGTTTCTAAAAAATTTCTATAAATTTGTTGTTTCTGACCCTGTATGTTTAAATCCACAGACTTTTGGAAAGCCCTCATTTTTTAGACCGGTTCATTTATTAAACTTTTCTTATTGTAAGTACCATAGTAGTAAACAGATTCTGAGGAAACATCCCAAATGTATTTATTTATCCTATCTAATAAAGAAGGAATATGCTAATTGACCCTCATGCTGTCACAAAGATGGTGGCGCCCACAGCCAATAAAAAGGGAATATTCTAATTGACTGCCCTTCCCTCAAAGATGGCGACACCCACACCCATAAGATGGCTTCACCCAATCCCCTCAGCCCCGCTGGAGCGGCAGCAAGGCTGGGCCCGCCCCCAGGTGGGCCCGACTGCTCTGTGCACCTGCTTCTAGGGGCCCCTAATCCCCTCAGCCTCCCCAGCCACCCAGGGCCAGCCCGAGATGCAGGCAAGCCTCGGATGGTGGCTGTCCAGCCTCCCAGGGCTGCCCAAGGCTCAGGTAACCAGGGCTGACTGAGACTTGCGCTGCTGGCAGTGGCAGCATGGCAGCAGCAGAGGTCTCCTTCTTCTGATCACTGGGTTGCCTCCCACCCCTAAGGGCTTCCAGACTGAGAGAGGGGGCACGCTGAGCTGAGGGACACCCTCTCCAGTGCATGAATTTTCATGCATCAGGCCTCTAGTAAATTATCTATTTCTACTAGTATTCTAAGAATATATGATGTAAATTATGTATAATATACTACAAAAGAAACTCAAGGGAGGAGGATAAAGAGTAAGGGTCAATAGAAGCTCTAATTTTATCCTTTTACTTGGTGGGTAATCTTGGGCCCCCTGGGGTCTGCACACTCTCTTTGGAGACTGTGCTCATTTAGATTTGTAGCTTTCAGATAGTGATGGTAGGCACATATGGCATTGCTGGGGTGACATAATTTGAGGAAATGATGTCCCCCTCTGTGCGGCCCTCCCACCCCCCGTAAGCCAAAGACTGTATTGTGATAGTAGCATGAGAAAAATTAAGCTCATAAATTGAAATCAAGTTTTTCAAATTCAAGTTCATACTTTCACATAAGCAATCGCTCTTCATTTCTGTGACAAACCTTTATATTTTATTCCTTGAAAATATTACCATTTTCAATATTAAAGTTTACATGAGGCAGAAAAGCAGAAGGAACAGATGAGTAAGAAGAAGGAGTTCTGTTTATTTGGGATAATAGAGTTTGTAAAAGGGGGGAGATGAGGGAAATGGGGGATAAATATATAACAATAGGTAGAGGCCAGGCCATGATTTTGAATGTCATGCTGAGAATTTTGGTATTTATTTCTTAGGGAATGAGGAAAATCTAAAGGATTTTGGGTAGGTAAAACATCATTGGAAGTGGCCTTTCAGAAGATAAATGTGATAGAACTTGTTATTAAATGTTGAAAATGTAATCAAATTATTTACCCTTGTCTGCAGCCTGTGTTTTATTTGGTTCATTTCCTGATTTGTTGGATATTTGTTTCCACTCATCAAAAAATGTTTTTCCAGATTGTTTTTATAAATTATACTCTCAAATTATGCATCAATTTAACCAAGTACTTATAATCTATAGGTCATCTACACATTGTGAGCTATAGAATTTATAATAGTAATAATGAGAAACAGTTCCTAACTTTAAGGAATTAAAAATACTTTTTGCAAGGAGTCTCTAGTCACAATGTGCAGGCAATGCTAACATATAAAACTACATCTATGTAAGAGCTATATTTATTAGGTGCTTGCTGTTTGCTATTCTAATGCTTTCTATGATTTAAGTCACTTTGATCCTCATAGTAGTCCTAATAAGTGAGTTATAGACTTGGTAAATGACTCCGCAAGTGGCAGATTCAGGATTCAAACTCAGAGCCAATGTCTTATTTTTCTCATAATAAACTTTTCTGCGGCCAAAGGATTTTTTTTTTTTTAAGAAGGAAGAGGTTAGTGACGATTTATTGGCATTCATTGAAGACTTCATGGAGGCAGGGAGAAACTAAACTGGGTGCTGGTGGAAGAGGAGATGTGCCATGTACTTTTATTAGAATGAATGAATGAATGAATGAATGTAAGAGGATTCTAGCCTGCAGAGATAGTATAGAGGTGAGACATAGCATCCAATTTAAGGAGAGTGGTTTACCACGAGAGTTGATTTGAAAAAGTAATGGGAAACAAATTTGCATGAGTTATATTAATACCTTACACTTAGAGAGCACTTTATTTATATTAACTGGTTTAATTCTTACAATAATCCTATGAAATAGGTAGACTTATTTCTCCCATTTCACAGATGAGAAACAGAGGCATAGAGAACTTTTATGATCTTCCCAAGCATACATGGTAAATACCAGAGCCAGGATTTGAACACAGACAGTCTGGGCTGGAGCCATACCCCTTACCAGACAACATTTTGCTAGGGATAGATAATTATATTTGGAAAGCTAGTCAGATGTTTATTATTGATGCTGAGGAGAATAAATACTTGAAAAGGAGAGTTCTCTCCTGTAAGTGAGATTTTGGGAAGATGGAAATGGTAACTGAATGTCAGATGTTCTGGGGAGAAGCTCAATCAAGGAATGTCAGCCGTGGTTACAAAATAAACTTATCTGTTGAAGCTTCAAGAAATACAGAGGCCCTCAGATACCATGTCAGACCAACTAAAGCAGAATATTTTGGGTGGCTCATGCCATGCACATTCTTGGGCTAGAGGTGCTGAGTTTGCCAAGTCCCTGCTGAGGTAATTCAGGCCTGAGGTGCTGAGTTTGAGCGGAGGTCTTGATAACAACACACAATTATAGACTCTTAGAATTGGCCTAAATCATATAGATTTCCTAGAATCCAGCCTATTTCTCCACCCTAAGTAAGAGCTCTAAAAATATCTTGAATTAGGAACATTTTAAAGTTCTCACCAAGCAAATTCCAACTATCCTTCAGTTATAGTCCAAATTAAAATTATTTCTATTATGTCAGAATGTTAAATGTGGACATTTTTATTGGTTTATTACTTACATTACTGGCTGAAGGACAGGCATTTAGGTTCAGTTAAAATTTAATTTTAGATAATCTGAAACATACTACTTTTCACTATAATATGACAAATAAATCCAAAAGTAACTTAGAAGGAATTTAAATGTAAGGAAATGTGTAGCATTCATATTAATAAATGTATTTATTAATGATGTGACTTGAATTTTGGGACTATTTTAGCTATTCATAGTCCTGTTTAGCTTTTATTGCCTTTTTCTTCCAATAGAGGGCACTCTAATTCAGTAATTTAAAATACAAAGTCAGTTATCTTATGTAAGAACTTTATTTTTGAATTGGAGATGTTTGGTTTTATTAAAATATAAGATTAGCCTGAAGGTTGTAGTTTGACCAGCTTTACTAATATAAGTGAATTAAAAAATAAAGTCTTATTGTGGTTGAATGTATTTGATTAAAATTTTGCATTTAATTTGAAAACCAGCTCAAGTTATAATTACATTTTCTCTTGCATAAATTTTAATTCAAAAGTTAGTCTCTTTTAAAAGATTTTATAATATGCATGTGGAGCCATTTTCTAAATTGAATTAGAACATTATATAATCTAGAATGTAAATTTCGAAGAAATATAAATAACTTCACTTTTTTCAACATATGTAGTTAGGATTTGGAAAGAATGTAAAATAATCTGAAAAAATTTATATTCTCTTTACTTATTTCCCCAACTCATATATTCAGTTTTCCCCTCTATGTGTATAAATGCTGTGCACAACTCTTAAACGTGAACACACC